TAAATAAATAAATAAATAAATAAATAAATAAATAAATAAATAAATAAATAAATAAATAAAATAACAAAGTGCTTTGATCCCTGTCCACCCCCTCCATGTTTTGCAAAGAAAATGCAGGGGGAAAGCGACTTCCGCTTTCTCCCTACATTTTTGTTGCAAAAAGCAGCTTTCTGCCTCCAGGTTTTGCAAAGAAAATGCAGGGGAAAAGCGATTCCTACTTTCCCCCTACATTTTCATTGCAAACCGCTTTCCACCCCCCGCATTTTCTTTGCAAAACTTGGAGGGGTGAAGCTGCTTTTTGCAACGAAAATGTAGGGGGAAAGTAGGAGCTTGCCCCCTCCACTTTCTTGCAAAGGAAGAAATTTTGATTTTGAAAAGTGTGGGTGTTTTATACATGGGAGCGTCTTATACACAGAAAAATATGGTAAGTATCATGTGAAGTGGAACTGGCAAAAACACTCCTTAAAGATCTCATTTACCCATGTCATGTTTCCTCAAGAGGATTCTGGACAAGGTTTTTTTTTTTTTTTTTCAAAAATTGCCCCAGTTAGCAACGAGGAAAGCAAATTTGTACTGAGTTCAGACTATTGATTCATCTAACCTCAAGCTGTAATTTCTGAACTCCAGGGCTCCAGATGGGATTCTTTCCTATCCCTGCCTGAAGATTCCCGATACAGTGGTGCCTCGCTAGACAGTTACCCCGCATGACAGTTTTTTCGCTAGACATTGACTTTTTGCGATCGCTATAGCGATTCGCAAAACAGTGATTCCTGTGGGGGAATTTCGCTGGAGAATGTTTAGTCGCTGCTTCACAAACTGATTTTCGCTAGATGACAATTTTGACAGCTTCCTCCGGGCTCGCAAAACAGGCGTTTTCAGGATCTAAGCTTCGCAAGACAGCAATTTAAACAGCTGATTGGCGGTTCGCAAAGCGGCTTTCCTATGGCCGATCTTCGCTAGACAACGACGATTCTTCCCCATTGGAACACATTATGCAGGTTTCAATGCATTCCAATAGGGAAATGCTTTTCGCTAGACAATGATTTTGCTAAACAACAATTTCAGTGGAACGGATTATCATCGTCTAGCAAGGCACCACTGTAGTCCCCCAACCCAACTGCTAACCAGGCCCAACCCTGCTTAGCTTCAAAAGACCAAACAAGCTCCAAAGCTTTGCAACTTTCATTCTTTTCTGCTAAGCAGATATTCAGCTAGCCTACTTCTTTTTCCAGAAAAAGGTGGCAGATCATCCCAACCGTGTCCCGTCCATCTGGCTAGCCATGTACCATGCTTTTGGGAGGCCGATCCTTCTGAGCAGCACCTTTCGTTACTTAGCTGACCTTCTGGGGTTTGCTGGACCACTCTGCATTTCTGGTATTGTCCAGAGCTTCTCCGATGAGATGGAACAAAATGGCAGCCTGAACTCAACCAGCCTTCCCACTAATGTGAGTTAGCAGCTACGGATGATTGAACTGCAATAATGGATAATGTGCATTTGTCCTCTGTGCATTTCTCTTCTCACGTCAGAATTTTCAGGAGGATGCTGGTGGCTGCATCCTTTAAAAAGGACTATTGAAAAAGCAAACAACTATAGTTGATAACTGCTCCTGCTATTTAATAACAATCAATACTTCAAAAACACAGGGACCAAGTCCTTCATAAATTGCAACGAGGATGGTTTAGGGGCCAATAAAACAGCTACCAGTGGCATATTATTTCACAGTTGCTATTTGCCAATTCCAATCATCCAAGGGAAAAAAACCCAACCTACGTTGCAATTTGCATAGATGTGAAAAGTGCTAGAGGATAATCACACTTCTTTTGCTTCTTAACTCAGATCCATGTCTAACTGCAAAGCTCCTTGTTTTGTCTCTATAGATCTTGGAACTGCTCAATAGTAGGAGCACAACATTTATGCACTAGATTTTCAGCTTCCATGCGAGAACGGTTATTGTCCTTTCTGTTCTAAGAAAGTATACAGGCATGACATGGAGGGGTGGAAATCCAGTGTGGAATTGCGGCAAAGGGAAGCAGTTCAAAACACCCTGTCTAAGAGGTTCTTGTGCACATGTAGGGCCTACTCATAAGCAGGAACCTCACATCTTCCGACACATAGTTGCCTGCTTGATGGAGGGGCGGGTCATACGTTCCCCTTTATTTTCAAGAAATCACATTCATTAATGCCTGCATAGGGTTTATCATCATCATCATCATCATCATCATCATCATCATCATCATCATCATCATCATCATCATCATCATCATCATCATCATTTTAGTCCTAATATGAGTAAACTCACTGAATCAATATAGCTTACATAAGTGTTGATATCAACAATTGGTTGATTAAAAAAAAGTTATCAGAGTTATTCATATCGTGGGTATTCTCTAGTTGACATTAAAAATTATCCAGAGTCCAAAAATACACTGCAATATTTTATTTATAGTGTCCTTAGCAGTCCAGAACAAACTTTTGCCACATTGAAACACAGAGCCATTGTGTTTTTCTTACTCCTAACTATTGACTATGGTTATAAATACAGTAATGTTTTGTACAGTATTTATGCAGATTTGACCATATTACTACACCCACTTTTTGCTAAGCTCAAGAGGTCTTATTTCTAAATAGGCATGAACTGCACCGTTATTTGAAGTTTTCCTTAATAATTGTGATGGTCATAATTATTATCTTTTGTTTCCCTTGTTCTTGAATTAGTCTCTCTGACAGTATCCCTTTTTTTGTGCTTCTAAGTATACTACAGATCCTTTCCTCAGTTCAAAGGATTTCCTCAAGAACAATTATGTTTTGGCTGTCCTCCTTTTCCTGGCCCTCATCCTGCAGAGGACGTTTCTCCAGGCCTCCTACTACGTTACCATAGAAACGGGCATCAACCTGCGAGGAGCTTTACTGGTGAATAAAGGCATTCCTTCATTGACTTGGATGCTATAAAATCCCTTACTAGGGCCTTTAAATTATTTTTACTTTGGTTTAATTGACTTTTTATTGAGACCCGCAGGCTAAGCTGGACTAAGATAAAAGACAGTTCGATGTAGATCTGATAAGACTGTTAGTGGAAACAAAATGGATGAAACAAACCCTGTTAATTCTTTGGCCTGCCTCTGGCAGAACTTGGAAAGCTGCCCTTTATGGACTACAGCTCCCAGAATCCCACTGACCATGCTGGCAAGGGGATTCTGGGAATTGTAGTTCTGGACAATAAATTTTTGAAGCTGTGTTCTCCATTATAAAGTTTCAAAAGAAATAGGTGTCTGTTTCTTTGGATGGCTTAGGAAATAGATGGCTGCATATTGGAGTTCCCAAAGAAATGTATCAGATCAAAATAAAAACAAACAAACAAAAAACACAAACAAACAAACAAACCCCAAGAAATAGAAATGTCATGGTACTGCATGTGTGAGGAAGTGGACGTCATCCACAAAAGCTCAAATTAAAATATAGCAGTTAGTCTTTAAGGTGCCACAGCCTTTCTGCCTCTTGTATTTATGTTTTCATTTTGTTTGTTTTTCTTTTTGTCTGATAAGCTCTCCAGCAGAATCACAGAATCATGGAAGTGTAGTTTTGGAAGGGATTCTAAGGTTCATCCCTGCTGATGCAGGAAACCGTCAGCTAAAGTAACCTCTGACAGATGGTCATGTAATCTCCATTTTAAAATTTCTAGTGAAGAACTGTGTGCTGCTTTTGAGGAAATACCCACCACTCTTGAACAGCTTTTCCATCTAGAAAGTTGTAGTTAAGTCTACATCTTCTTGGACTAAACCAGATAGTGCTGGTTTTGTCCATATCTTCTACCAGCTTGGGTTCTGATTCTCTGGAGCAGCAGAACAGGGTCTTGTTCCATCGTCCACTTGAGAAGCTACAGTGGTACCTCGCTAGACAGTTGCCCCGCATGACAGTTTTTTCGCTAGACATTGACTTTTTGCGATCGCTATAGCGATTCGCAAAACAGTGATTCCTATGGGGGAATTTCGCTGGAGAATGTTTGGTCCCTGCTTCACAAACCGATTTTTGCTGGACGACGATTTTGACAGCTCCCTCCGCGCTCACAAAACAGGTGTTTTCGGGACCTAAGCTTCGCAAGACAATGATTTAAACAGCTGATCGGCGGTTCGCAAAGCGGCTTTCCTATGGTGGATCTTCGCTAGACAACGGCGATTCTTCCCCATTGGAACACATTAAACAGGTTTCAATGTATTCCAATGGGGAAATGCTTTTGGCTAGATGATGATTTCGCTAAACAGTGATTTCAGTGGAACGGATTATCATCGTGTAGCGAGGCACCACTGTACTGGATATTTGAAAAAAAGCTCTTATATCACCATGATAGATTGATCATATTCCATGCTTCTGCCACAATGTTTTAACAGTGCAGCATCAGATAGGAGGGACTCTTGTATGGGTCTGTTCCATTAAAAATATACGCAAAACATGTGCACCTTTTGGGGGGAAGCTGCAAAAATGGGGATTTGTGCCAGACTATCTTCTAGGATGAAATATACAACGGCAGCTGACTTTTTGTTTGCTTCTTCTTCTTCTTTTTTCCAGGCAATGATCTATAATAAAATCCTGAGACTTTCGACATCCAACTTGTCCATGGGAGAGATGACGTTGGGACAGATCAATAATCTGGTTGCCATAGAAACAAATCAGCTCATGTGGTTCTTGTTCCTGTGTCCTAACCTATGGGCTATGCCCGTTCAGGTACAGCATCGAAGTAAGGGACTAATTTTTGAAAGACACCACGTATTCATTGCATTTGTCAATGCAAGAACAAAAACATGTATTTTTTACTGGCAAATTACTGGAAGGCCCAAACCTTTCTGATAAAGCACATGAACAACAGGTTCAGTCCTGGCATCTCCAGTTGCATCACCAGTGTGTATGCTGGCCATTGGCCCAACTCAATGAAAAAGTTAGCGCATCATTAGAAGCAGGGCTCCCTTAAGTGAGAAAAAGATGTTTTTCCAGCATGAGTTTGCCTCACTGCACATGTTGCAAATAAGCTTGCTTTTGGTTAGAGAGGGGGGTATTCATATTCGTATATAAATACGAATATCCTCACACAGGTGACGTTAACAAGACTCCAGCCCCATGGGGCCGGATGGTCCACTTACCAATTGCACACTGTGGAGCCATTGGTAGAATCGCGCCGTCCGTGGCAGATCGGCGAGTGGACCATCCGGCCCCATAGGGCTGGACCCTCGTTAAGGCCGCCTGTGCGGGGATATTCGTATTCGTATACAAATACGAATACCCCCATCTCTATTTTTGATTAGTCAGGAAAAGGTAAACATGGGCTTCATTAGCAAGTCTGACTGTGCTTGGAAGGAATTGTGTGCCTGGAGAAAAAGTAGCAGGAAACATGCATTTCTCTTGGCATGTGATTTGACACCAAGTGATATAAAGTAAATATGATTTTTCCCACCTGCACCATCAGCTCCTTTTGATATGAAGGAGATGCGGCAAAGCAAACAAGAAAACGGGGAGGAAAATTTCACAAGGAGATTCTGCTGTGCATTTGAATTATAGTTAAGATGTGTTGAATAAACCTGGGAAGTACTGATCCCATAAGCCATTGTAATAGGTTGTAATGCAGAGATTCAGAATTTATGACCAGCGGCAGCTGGTGACTCCCATTTCAGGGGTGCTGTGAATCCACTCCACATTTTACTCTGCACTTTTCAGGAATTCATCAAGGTTCTGAATCTATTTGAGGTATAGCTCTTGTAAAGTCCAGTCTAAAGCCCAGAGTGGATTCACAACACCCCTGGAATGGGAGTCACCGGTCTCTACCACTGCTTTGGGCCCTTCAGATGTTCTGGACTTCAACTCCCCACAGTCAACAGCCATCATGGCCATCAGGAAGACTGTGGGAGTGAGAGTCCAAAACATCTGAAATCTTCCTTCTCTCACAATTGTGTACCTGGAATTTGCTTGGTAATAAGATATGGAGACGCTGGTTGCCAGTTCTGTTTTTTTTTCCCACTGACCTTTCTTACCTTCTTCCATCCTTTTTTTCCCCTGAAGAAAGGGGAAATAACATTTCTTTCTCTCTTGGCTCTTGAATATTTTTCACCTGTTTCCTTGTGAAGTAGGGTGAAAAAGTCACAAAAGGAGTTTGTAATTTGGTGAGGCTTGCTTCCCTGTTCCCATTCTTTTTTTTCTTTGCTATTTTGAGTCGGGGAAGAGAATTCTGTTCCATATGATCCCTATTAGGGCTGGAGATGGGCATGGACCACTGGTTTGTTGGTTCGTTTATTGGCCGAACCTCCTACAGCAAATGCCTACTCAGAGGCAGCACATGGAGGAGGGAAGGCAGGAAAGCCAGGCTGTTGCCTCTGAGTAGGTGCCCACTGGAGAAGGCGGGGCTGGGAAGTGCCAAACACCTGTTCCGCCAATAAACGAACCAGCACGAACCAACGAACCGGCAGTTCATGCCCATCTCTAAGAATATGAAGTGAGAGAATAAATGTGGCAGCTTTCAGACTAGGCGTAAAGGGAAGCAGCAGGAGGCAGTAGTCCTTTAATCACCTGCATAGGTTTATGCTGATAACCTTTCTGTGTATCTTCTTCCTTTTTATAGATTATCATGGGTGTCATTCTACTTTTCAACTTACTTGGACACAGCGCCTTGGTTGGAGCTGCTGTCATAGTACTGTTGGCTCCAATACAGTATTTCATAGCAACAAAACTGGCCGAGGCCCAGAAGAGTACCCTTGTAAGTGATTCCCTTACCATGACACTTGTCGTTAGTAAGCACATGATAACTATCAGAAGAAAATTACGGGAACAGTAGAAGTTGACTATTCATTCCTAATTTTCTGGGTCAGTGCAGTTGCTTTTAGCCTTTTGTTTCTGATCATGGGGTTTTTCTGGGTCAGTGCAGCTGCTTTAGGGAGCTATCCAAGGTGCTGAAACCTCCTATCAAAATACAGTACATTCAGTGCCTTTGGACTTCTCTTGCAAAGTTCGGATTAAAACCCAGGATGGATTTGTTGCTCTTACAGAATTGGGGTCACCGGTCTCTGCGCCCTGCACGTGGGCCATGGGGTCACGAAGAGTCGGACACGACTAAACGACTAAACGAACAAACACAGTTGCTCAGTTGCTTTAGGGAGCTATCCAAGGTGCTGAAACCTCCCATCAAAATACATTTAGTACCTTTGGACTTCTCTTGCAAAGTTCGGACTAAAACCCAGGATGGATTCGTTAGTCTTACAGAATTGGGGTCACCGGTCTCTGCTGCTTTCTTGCCCGTTGCTCCTTTTCTGTTTGTTTAGATCATTTGTATACCACTTGATGTTGCAGGATCTCCAAGTGGAATAAAAGTAGGTGCTTGTTGCAGGTGCTGTTTAACATATTTCTTTTGGCTCATTTAAACTCATATGTGCATTGGTTTCAGAACAACTGGAACAAGAATATAAATGCCATTGATTTATATGATACATATCCTAAGTCTTGGAAAATGTGGAAATGACATT